TTAAATTGTGTGCTCATTTGCTTTTTTTTCTCACTTGTTCTGTGTCATTAACAAACAATGGAAACCTTTGAGAACAATGTCGAGTGAACTTTATCAGTATTATAATTAGTGTTTTGGACTAAAAGTAACTCGCAGTAGTAATACTGTATAATACACGTTTATCCCAGTCACTAGTATCATTATATATTACAATAACTATCCTGAAAACAATAGAACGGGTTAATCACTTCAAACACCTTGGACTCCCACTCGACAATAAACTCACCTTCTGCTTTCTGAAACACTTCAATCTTTCAACCTAACCTCTACAGCTCCCCCTGTTACTTTAACATGCTCTCCATCACTCACTAAAGTCACACACACAGAATCCAAAATCATCAGTCTCTCCACCACAGACCTCACAGCAGTAACACGCATGGCCCGGACAGTTAGCACAGACCCAGACCATCCCCTCCACACCCACTTCACTCTGCTGCCCTCAGGATACTGATACAGAACATTAAGATGGAAGCGGGCCAGATTTAGTAAGAGTTTTGTCCCTTCAGCTATAGCAGCTCTTAACAGTCTGTAATTTTGTTTTGTCCTTGTTCCTGTTTTGTATGTGTTTCTCTCTCCTTCTGTGTATCCTGTGTCTATTGCAACCTGTATGTGACAGTGTCTGTGAAAATGAATATCTATCTATCTTTCTATCTATCTATCTCTATCTCTATCTATCTGTCTATCTATCTATCTTAGAAGATCTTGATTGTGATCATGAACCATCTTGCAGTGTGCATGTTGCTTTATTTGGGGCTTTAAACTCTCCACATCTTGTTTTGCGTGACATCCAAGCATCTTTTAAGGCAAATAAGTCGTCCAACAAACATCAGGTTTGGCACGATTATCAAGAAAAAAGATGTTTATTTATGTTACACTTGTGCAAGTCTTGGGTCGGTATCTCTGCATATACAACGTCTACATTGTGAGCTCTACTTATCTATGACCTATTCTGTCATGTTCTAAATGCGGGACAGGCATGAACAAAGCCGATAATAAGAATAAGAGAAGAAAGATAATGACATCGTAGACTGGCATGTTTGTGCTGAAAACTACCAATTTCAGATGCATTATTTCTCGCTCAGTTGAGTGGAGCACATCAAGACAGAACAATCTGTTTTGTCGCACTGACAAAATGTGCTTTTTATATTGTGGCAGGGATTTTTATTCATAGACTCCACTCAAAGAATAACTAATGATGCATTCTGTTTCCCGTATGCTCTCTGCGCATATGACTCCAGTAACTCTGATGCTTTGTTTTGTAGACAAAGTAACCAATGTCCCAGTTTTGACATAATGTTCAGGTAAATGTGCCAAGTATGCAAAGTACCTTTGTATAGTGTGGCAACATTCACCCATTTTCAATGATCCAGAAAAAAAGATTTTTGGCTCCGATACGAATGTTCCTGTTCCATAGAATTTTTTCCATATACTCTGTCTATAGGATTAGGTCTGGACTTTCTAGCCCACTAATTGTTGTATCCTATTACCATTGCTGACACATATCCTGAATTAGCATTTCATATTTCCATCAGTGACGTAGACAAAACCCAAATAAAGCCAAAGCCCCCCCCCCCCCCCCTCCCTTTATTTTCTGCACAGTATTTTCTTGCTGTGATTGAAGCTTTTGCACAGATTCGACATGTAGCAGAGCAGAGTATGTCCCTATGTTCAAACTCCCTGAACTCATTATAGAAAAGTCTTTGTGAGTAGAGAGTCACATGTTTTTTAAAGGTAAATTGTGGTTCTGGTTAATAATTACCATTACCTTTTTTGTGTGGAGTTTATATGTCTCTTCCTGTTTCTTGGTCGGTTTTCTACCTGGTGCTTCAGCATCTCCTGAGTCCTGGCTGCACTGCAGTGACCACTGCTCCTGAGACAGGCCTGAGCCTTGGATGAAGGATGGATCAAATGCAGAGGACAAATGTCTCCCTATTGGAGAAGTTTCTATGGAAACAATCATGTGGAGAATCATGTTATTTACAGTTTCTAGATCAGTAAAAAAAAAAAAAATGATTAAGAAAATAATTTGATTTTGGTTTGTCTCAAAATTACAAAGGTCTTTAACAAAAGCTTTTAGCTCTTGTATTGTTTTTGCTGATATTTTCTCTGATCAAATGTTTTCCTTATTTCAAGCTCTGCCTTGCTTTGTCAAAACCCTTCTTCAAAAATTGTAAATAACTATTTAGCCAGACAAGCCCGTCCTTCTCATCTCCCCACATGCATGCAGCCACCTCTATATTCTTTCTTAACACGCCACAACAAACACGCGTTGACTCTTCACCACCACGCTGAGCCACCTGTGCTTCACGTGTTCAGCCACTCTTTTCCTTGGTACCGCCCCCTGCTGCTTGAGATGCACTGTCTTCATAGTTCACAGCCAATGACACATAACCTGTTTACCCCGCCACGGGCCAATCCTGCCAAAGAGCTCGCCCGCTGCTAAAATTGCATGTGTTTCATAGGCGGTGTATGGGGGGCTGGCAGGTGAGGGGACTGTGAAAAGGGCAAAGTAGGAGTGGTTTGGAGTTCACACCTCTTCGAAATGTTGTGAGTCCACGTGTTTCTCGGAGGTTCTGTTGTGTGGCGAAGGTGCCGTTGGCTTTAGTGAGGATGGGCCCATTGTGTATTATGGGAGAAAGAAGTCTATGAGTCAGAGGAAAGCCAGGGATTAAGAATAGAAGGATGGAAAATGACTGAGAATAAAACGTATAAAAAGGTTCATTGAAAAAGGAATTAAAGGCGACGTGTTACGTATGATACCACCTTTCTTCTTTTTGTTCTATCCCCATCAATTCAGCTTCAAATAAGTAATGTGGTAAAAGTATGTTCATCTTTTGCATATTGAATATTGTTCAAAATCCATTTATTCTTGTAATTCAACTTGTAAAACCCAAATAGACTTATTACATGCAGTCTGACATAGGCCAAATCTTTTTGTTATGATATTCAATAAACTATGTTTTTGTAGATTTTACAAGCTGTTGGCCAACATTATAAAAAAATAAAGGCTTATTATATCTTACTTGCGTGTAATGAGTCTGTCATATTTTAGTTTCACATAGTAAGTTTAAACTATGTGGGGAAGGGTTTGGGTATTGTGGACCCACCACCTGCCTGAGGATCAGTGAGGGACTGGTGCTTTGAGACTTGTGTGGCAGCTCTTATTGCCACCCCCCTGACCCAGAAATATCACCATGGTGATATAGTACGTTTATATAACAGAAGTAAATGGACTTTTGAATAATTTTCTAATTTAGTTTTTGCATGTTTATTTTTTATATGGATTTGATTCATTTATGCACCTATTCTGAGAGGAAATCGCTAGTGTCCTGCGCCTGCATGTTTCTGGATTATCTAACTTCCTTATGGGCACTTGCTGTAATGGGCCGATGTGTTGCTAAGACAAGCTGGCGTCTCCCCTGTGAATGAAGGCAGCCGATTGGTCAATCCCAATGGCTCATAACTGGATTTATGAAAGAGAAATGTGAGTTTGACACAAACGTTTACTGAAAGCTAGATGAGTTTACTTTGCAATGTAAGTCAATTGGAGCCAGAGCTTTGGGCGTGTCTCTTTGTAGATAAACTTTGTCCATGAGCACTTCCCTATTGGGCTTCATTGTGCTAGGAGGTTAGTAATGTCCATCCATACAGTCTATGGTCTGACTTGACTTTGTATAGTATGTCCACAGTGTAGCGTCTTACACATGATTACAAAGTCATACAAGGATTTTATTTATTTTTTCTGACTGTGAATCAGAATATTAATCTTCTCTTGACTTTGTGAGAAAAACCTTGGGTTGAAACAGGGCCGATTATCTCCATAGAGGTTTTCTGTCTATTTTTCAATAAAGGACTTTTTTTTCACAAGGCAACAAGTGTCAAGGTAACAAGTCAGGCGTCTATTTTTACTGCACATTTATCTGCTTCTCTATATTTTAAATCTGCAAGTCACATCACCTCTTCAAACCGTTAGTAAGTAATCTTTATTTATATACCGCCTTTCACAGACCAGAGTTACAAAGCGGTTTACAATTGTTCTTTTTGGGCACTTGTCCTCTCACTCCACACAGAGATGGGAGCGGGGTCGAACAGGAGGCGCATGCCAGACCTATTGTACATGGGTTTAGTGGTAGGGGAAACCGGAGTACCCGGAGGAAACCTAAGCAGAGGGGAGAACATGCAAGGGGAGAACATGCAAACTCCACTCAGAAAGGCCCTGGTCCGACCGGGATTCGAACCCAGGACCTTCTTGTTGAAAGGCGAGAGTGCTATCCACGCAGCCACCGTACTGCCCAAGGCGATACATAGAGTTCAGTAAATTCTCACCCTTTTAGACTTGGAATATCAATTAAATTTATTAATCCACAATGAAAATTACTTCATTTGCAGCAATCTCATACAGACTATACAATCACACAGTGAGTCCATTCAGCTCCCTGCAGATTACAGAATAAAAGCATTATGGCTAGTGCTGTCAGTTTAATGCTTTAATAAACAAAAAATCTTGTTGGCTGAAGCTGGTTTATTATTTGTCATTATTCACAATAAAACAAGTCCTGTACAAATGTGGGGGTGGGCAAAAAGGATGAAGCTGTTACTACAAACAAAAAAAGCCAAATTAGTTATAAATACCTAAAGGATAAATGTTCTTAAGTTTTGAAGATGTATGACAAGGCCTGTTGAAACTATGGTAAAAAAATAGCAACTAATATGAAAGCAACTAACATAAAAAAGGGTTAATCTTGTAAACCAGAGAACACCATCCAAACACTGAACCATGGGGGGTGGCTAATTACAAAGTGGCCTAAGAAAACAAAGTCACTGTTTTTTAGTGGCCATCACAACGCCCTGATCTCATTCCCATAAAAAATGTGTGGATTCAAAAGCCACGTGCGAGCGAGGCGACATTCATCAGTTCTGTCGGAGTAATGGGCAATAATTCAAGCCAACACTTGTGGACCATGTTCCAAATCGTGACCCAAGTCAACCAGGTTAGTTGCAATTCTACCCAATACTAATGATTGAGCAAAAGCAAGTAAGTGGATATAAACTTCAAACATAAAGATATATAATTTAATTTTTTGTCATGAACCAACAACAAGTGGGACACAATCGTGAAGTGGACTGAAATTTATTGGATAATTTAAAGTTTTTTAACAAATAAAAAACTGAAAAGTGGGGCGTGCAATATTATTCGGCCCCTTTACTTTCAGTGCAGCAAACTCACTCCAGAAGTTCAGTGAGGATCTTTGAATGATCCAATGTTGTCCTAAATGACTGATGATGATAAATAGAATGCACTTGTGTGTAATCAAGTCTCCGTATAAATGCACCTGCTCTTTGATAGTCTCAGGGTTCTGTTTAAAGCGCAGAGAGAACCATGAAGACAAAGGAACACACCAGGCAGGTCCGAGATACTGTTGTGGAGAAGTTTAAAGCCGGATTTGGATACAAAAAGATTCCCCAAGCTTTAAACATCTCAAGGAGCACTGTGCAAGCAATTATATTGAAATGGAAGGAGTATCAGACCACTGCAAATCTACCAAGACCCGGCGTCCCTCCAAACTTTGATCTCAAACAAGGAGAGGACTGATCAGAGATGCAGCCAAGAGGCCCATGATCACTCTGGATGAACTGCAGTCCCACTTGTTGTTGATTCATGACAAAAAATTAAAATTTTATATCTTTATGTTTGAAGCCTTAAATGTGGCGAAATGTTGAAAGGTTCAAGGGGAATACTTTCGCAAGGCACTGTAGGTTGGTCTATCTTTTGAACACTGGTTGAGTTGCCATAATTTTACCAGTGGCCTTGATGAAGACCAGAGAGGAGTCAAACGTGTCACAATGTCCCCACAATTACTTTGCTTTGTTTCCCTCTTCCTTTTTCCATGGATCCTTGAAGAGCACCTGACTCCTCACGTTAACCCTACGTCTCATTCCTCTTGTATTTTTGTTAAACCAGTGGGTGTTTTTCAGGTGACTCGACCTCATCCCAGCGATAACCCAGTGTTGTTTCTGTTCCTGGTTGGAGGAGTCACTCCCTCAGAACTCCGTCAGATCAAAGAGGTGGTCTCAACACTCAAACCTGCTGCACAAGTGAGTAGTGAGTGAGTGAAAACGAAGGCTTTATACCAAGGTGCTTTTATTTAACTTACTGTACCATGAGGGTGATGCAATTGGAGAAAAGGATTTGAGCGTGAACCTTATTACTATAGTTTTATTAACTATTGTTTAGATTTGACCCCCAAAACAGTGTTACCCGAGAAATGCTTGTGCATCAAGTCCGCATTAGTAACTGAGTAGTTCAGGTACATGAGAGGAGCTCGGAGTACAGCCACTGCACCTTAGTTGCTTTTAACAAAACAAAACAAAAATCACCCCCTTTTATGGATTTCAATACTACGTCCACTTCCATGTTTACTCTGTTTCCAGATATATAGTATATTTTCCCTATATTTTCCTTCTTGAAACATAAAACTCAAAGTTTAGAGTTCAAAGGCATGCCCTGTACAGTATTTGATAATTATTTAACGTCACTAAAGTTTTCTGCCAAAGAATATTTCAAGATTAAGAAAGAAGGAACTTGTTCAGAGCTTATGGCCATCATTAAACTGATAAAGTAGATCTGCAGAAAACTACTGCAGTTATCCAATAATATTATTCATGTCATTGTTATCACTATCGTTGTATATAAGGTGCTTCAAGGTCTTGCTGTCGGGCATAAAGGGTGAATATATGCCCTACATACTATATTGGAGTCTACAAATAACAGAGTAGGTCTTGTGTAATCATTCAAATGGTACAAATCTGTTGATTATTTTTTCTTGAATAATCAAGCCCATGTTTTTTTCTTCTTTTTCTTAAATCCTTGACCCACTTTTCTGCTCTAACAGCATTGAGTGCACATATAAAAGCTATAGAAAGTTCACAGATGGGGCTTTGAACCTTACTTTGAGTGGCATCTGCCTTGATCCTCCCACGTAAACACTGACCCAGATAGACTGCATCAGGTTCACATGACCTTGCCATAGTCTTTACATTATTATGTCATTGCAGCAGGTACATGCTTCTAGAGGCTGTTTTTTTTCCATGTGGATCAATATGTATAGATAAATGTTGTGCAAGATTAAGGCACAACAACAGGAGGGGACCCGGTGAAGTGAGCTCTCGTAATAAAGACTTTTTGAGAACCAGGCCAGTGTCGTGAAAGAGCTAAGGATCAAAGCTCTACATGTGTGTAATGAGGAACAGGACCTTATATAATGCTTAGCCCACTCTGACCCGCTTCATGCCATTATGAAATATACAACACACACCGTGGATGGTTTGCATCTGCAGTATGTGATCATTGAGTATATTTTGGTCAAAGTGACACCAATATGTCAAGTGAGATACTGTTTAGGTTCTTGGATAAAGTTTATAATTGTATTTCCTGATTTGACAAGTCAACAGCCAGTTGCCCATTCAAATGCTAATGGTTTAACATGGAAGTGTTATTATCAAGCAGGTATTAAGTTCTGAAAATTTCCCCACAGTGGGAAGAATGGAGGATCTCTTCAATCAATCAATCCATTTTATTTATAGAGTGCTTCACTATAAAATTACAGTGTGTCACCATGCTAATGGGTGATAAAAGTGTTTCAAGCCAGTCTGACTAAATACGTTTTGAGCCTCGATTTTAAAAAGGCCAAAATCAGTGAGGACAGGCATGTCAGGGGGCAGCTTGTTCCAGAGTCTGGGTCCAGCGACTGAGAAGGACCGGTCTCCCCAGTGTTTGTAGCTAGTCCTTGGTACTTCCAGGAGGAGTTGAGATGAGGACCTAAAAGGAGCCCAAATTTCAGACAAGTTTGGGGGGGGGGGCGAGACCATTGAGGGATTTAAAATCAACTCGAAACGACACTGGAAGCCAATGTAGGGATAAAGTACTGGGGTGATGTGCTGACTTCTGGGTGTGTTTGTTAAAAAGCGGGCTGCAGCATTTTGCACCAACGGAAGACAATTCAAACAAGACTGGGAACTCCAAAAGAAAGGGCAGTACAGTAATCAAGTGATTCAAGTGATCTCTGATTCTGATCACTTGGAGTTCCACAGTTTTTAGGTGTCTAGAAGTGGTGTCAATATCCTAATAAAACATATACATGATTTATAGAAAATACATGCTGTTTAACTACTTGTATGTTTGTCAAACCAAGACTAAACTCCCAAGTGATCGCATCCTCATTTGTCCCACAGTGGGGAGAATTCAGATCGTAAAACTTGCTTGACATTACCACTGCTGAATCATTCCATGTCTGTGCTTGCTAATGCTTTCTGTGCCTGTATTGTCTCTTGGAGGAGCCTCACAGTCTGACAACCTTAAAAAATATTCAAACGCAACCTGTCAGGAAACGCTTACTTCCTTCTGCAAAGCAATTATATGTAATTTACAACATTTCAAAGTCTGCAAAGCCTCGTGATGCGTGCGTTTCCGCGTTAATTGTTAATTTTGGCACCTTTCTAATCCGTATCTCACAGTCTGCCTCATTTGGAAGTGTGACTGACCCACTTCACTCTTTCGTGTTGGTTGTGTCCTGTGTTTTGTGTGCTGTAGGTGCTGGTTTTGGCCACGAGACTGCTCAGACCCACAGACATACCAGAACTGCTCTTCACCACAACAAGGCTCGCCCCCGACATTGGAGTTTGAAGAAATGTTTGGAAGGGTATATGGAGCATGTGTGCTACCAGCCTCGGTATTAACCTCACAGAAGTCCTGCCCGTGTTAAGTTATCTCTGTTTGGCTTCTTCTGTGATAACCCAAAACGCTACACTGCAAAAAGTGATTAGTTTGAGTTATTCTGACTGTCTTAAAACAAGATGGGACACAACCATTTAGTTATCTCAAGAAATTTAGAATTTTTTTCTCCCTACAAGGGAGACATTTCTTGTATCGTTTTAAAATAAAATATTTATATTTGGCCATGTCATGTATTTTGTTTTTCTCACTTTTTGCAGTGTATGGGGTCCTTCAGCAGTCATCTTGTCTACTACTATTTTGTGCACCATATGTTTACAATGGTTCTTCCTGATTTATGACGGCAAATCATGAATAAAGAAGTGATTCTTTGGAACTTTCTGAGTTATTTGAGAATGTTTTATTTTAAAATGTCTAAAGTAATATTTTTTGCCTAATTGTATATTTTGTCTGGAGACCTTTAATTATATATTTTAAATAATGAACTATCTTGTGTTTACCTTTAAGTACCAACGTATTTACAATCTATGGAACCAACACATTCTTTTAATACCATACATTAAAAAGACCCTGTATGCAAATGTTTTGTATTTTTGAACTTTTTTTTTTCTCAGGACAGATATGTTGTTAAAACAGCTCTTGATAATAAAGCGTTCTTCTTTATCTGACTGTTGAACTGATTTAACTGATCTTATAGTTCTCTAATTGCTGTGAAAAACTATTTAACTCATTTAAATGGATAAATAGGATGTGTGAGAAATCAGGTACACTTGCCTGAAGACACTGATTCCAATTGGTTTTATCCTGAGTAACCTCAAAATATGCTTTCACACACCGTAACCTGTAACAGATTGTGTTCATATGACATCACATCATTCCACAACCTACTGTTTAAATGTTTGATCAATTGTCAGACTCTGTAATAATTCCTTCCTAAAGTTTCACACCTGCGACATGAACGTAACATATATAGTCAGTTATTAATATAATCTCATGTTTATTATAATGATTTTAGAATGCGCACTATGCAGGTGTTAGCACCAGGCCTTTCTGTGTGGAGTTTGCATGTTATCCCCCTAACAGAACTAACCCTGCTTCAGTTTCCTCCAGGTGCTCCATTTTACCCTAATAAAAACATGTACAGCACGTCTGTCATGTGTGTGCAGGCGACCTCACTCCTATCAGTATCACTGTGTGGAGGAAAAACAAAAACAACTGAAAATCTCTTTGCGACTGCTAATAAATATAACTCTTCTTGAGGCTGCACCCCCGCAAAGCTCCTGGCCCGGACCACGTGTCTCCGGCCACTCTGAGACACTGCGCCAGTGAGCTTACTCCTGTGTTCACGGACATTTTCAACACCTCTCTGCAGTCCTGCCATGTCCCGGCCTGCTTCAAATCCTCCATCATTGTCCCCGTCCCGAAGAAGCCCAGGATCACAGGACTCAATGACTACAGACCTGTAGCACTTACGTCTGTCGTCATGAAGTCATTTGAACGCCTGGTTCTCTCCCATCTCAAGTCCTTCACCTCCCCCCTCCTGGACCCCCTGCAGTTCGCCTACAGAGCCAACAGATCTGTAGACGACGCCATTAACCTGGCCCTCCACCACATCCTACAGCACCTGGACTCCCCGGGGACCTACGCCAGGGTCCTGTTCGTGGACTTCAGCTCTGCCTTCAACACAATCCTGCCATCCCTGCTCCAGGACAAGCTCTCCCAGCTCAACGTGCCCGATTCCACCTGCAGGTGGATCACTGACTTCCTGACGGACAGGAAGCAGCGAGTGCGTCTGGGGAAGAATGTCTCGGACCCTCGGATTATAAATACAGGAGCCCCACAGGGCTGTGTTCTTTCTCCCCTGCTCTTCTCCCTGTACACCAACCACTGCACCTCCAGCCACGACTCCGTGAAGCTGATCAAGTTCGCGGACGACACCACCCTCATTGGACTCATCTCCAACAACGATGAGTCCGCCTACAGGAGGGAGGTGGACCGGCTGGTGTCCTGGTGCAGTGGTAACAACCTGGAGCTGAACGCCCAGAAGACAGTGGAGATGATTGTGGACTTCAGGAAGAGCACTGTCCCCCCGCCCCCACCCTCCGTGATGGACTCCCCCATCACCTCTGTGGAGTCCTTCCGTTTCCTGGGCACCACCATCACCCAGGACCTCAAGTAGGAGCCGACCATCAGCTCCCTCATCAAGAAGGCCCAGCAGAGGATGTACTTCCTGCGGCAGCTCAGGAAAGCCAAGCTGCCTGCACAGATGTTGGTGCAGTTCTACACGGCCATCATCGAGTCCATCCTCACCTCCTCCGTCACCGTGTGGTTCGCTGGAGCCACAGTCAGGGACAAACAGAGACTACAGCGCATTGTGTGCTCTGCAGAGGAAGTGATTGGCCGCAGCCTTCCATCGCTGCAGGACCTGTACGTCGGCCGAGCTCGAGGCCGGGCTGGTCGTATCACAGCCGACCCCTCTCACCCTGCACATGGACTATTCCAACCACTCCCCTCAGGCAGGAGGCTGCGGTCCATCAGGACTAGAACCTCCCGCCACAAGAACAGTTTCTTCCCCTCTGCTGTTGGACTCTTGAACACTTCTTAACCTGTCCCCCCGCCCTTTATAAAGTCACTTTACTGCCCATCATACGTCACTTTACTTCACTGTACTGCTGTCACCTTACATTGTGTGCACCATGTGCACTTGTATATTGTAAATAGTAACTGTAACTCTATTTTAAATTTAAATGTATTCTTTAGAAGTGTTTTTTATTCTTATTTTTATTATCTCTTTTTGACTGTTGCACTGAGCCAAAGCAATATCCAAGTCTGTGACCTCCTGTTACTTACGTGGCAATAAAAATGATTCTGATTCTGATTCTGATATAAATAAAGATGACATACTGGCACGCGCATTTCAAACTCAGGCCCGTGGCACAAAAACGGCCCGCAAGACCTTTTTTTTGGCCCCTGAAACGATTTTCTATTATCATTATCACAGTAACTGGCAGCACTGATGGTAAGGGGCTACTATGGAATGATATACTTGATTTTAAAGCCTACTATCTTGGGGAAATAACCACATGATTGAATACTTTGTGTTGTTCTTATTGTTATTTTTCTATTTAACTATCACTTTTCCGACACATCTCTTTTTAATTTTTGGCCCGGTTGTGGTTGAATCCAAACCTACTATGAGGTAATATCCAAACTCATGTTAAATACTACTTTCATACCATTTTTATACTTCTGGCCCCAACCAGCTCTTATGTTTTTAATTTGGCCCCCGATCATAATGAATTTGACACCTCTGGCTTATGAGCATCCCCCCCACAGGACACAAAGCCAAACATAAAAGAAATCTGCACACTTATATTAACTTCAGTGGCCGTTTGTTGAATCCACATTTATATGATCTCCTTCTAACAAGAGGTGGTGGGGATGTTAGGCGCTTTGACCCTGGAGGTGTGAAACCCTGGGGCTTGGTGTCAGTTCATTTGTGCTGGAGGCGTAAAGGCAGAATCCACACGCAGCCTCCGCCTTTGTCCTTCTCCGTATCAAGTGGTGGAGAGCTCGGGTCAGAATCATTAACAAATGGTTTCGCGCCGTCTGCCCACACCGATAGCACGCTCTCACCTCCTCGACAGACCACCCGCTCTCGGCACATGTGGTTTCTTTCTGAATTATAAGTGAATCAACCACTTCAGGAGCCAACTCAAACACATACAGGAGTTTTTGTTAGTAATGGTTTGAATGGCACTGTTAACGCTGGAGTGCCTAACTGTATTTGTTTTATAAATACATCGTGTTTGAAGAAAGAGTCTGGTTAAACTAAGTTGAGATGTTTATTAGAAATCTTACCAGGCAGGTAGTCTTGCACGGTTTTTCCAATGTGGTTTTACTGCAAATGGCAAACAAATTCTTGAATCTTGAATCTATTAGAAAGAATATTATCTTTAACAGATGATTAATGACAGATTAATACATTAATACAAAAACTAGAGATACAACCAAATATATATTTTATTGCATAAGGCTACAATTAACTTATTTTGATAATTGATTTGTTGGTAGAGTATTATTTTTGATGAATCGATTAGTTGTTTGGATCCCAAAAGGGTGGCGAGTATGGGGTTGCTATATGGACCAAAATATTACCGCAGAATAGAAGGAGAATGAAGAGCAAACAGGATTTATTATTTAAGATAACAGATCATTCAATTCAATTCAAAACACTTTGTAAACAAATGTCTATTTAATTCTTAGAAGAGGGTCATCAACCTCTTCTCAGCATGTTTAATTCTTTGTAAGGTGCCAAAAAATCATTAATCAATTATTGAATGGCTGTTATCTCAATTCTCAACTGAGTAATTACGATTAATCGATTCACTTGTTACAGTCCTAACATGTAGCTTTTTTGTGTGGTTTCAAAGTTAGGTTCTCCAGCTTTAAAAACTTGATTGGTCTGTTTCCTACGCATGCTCTTTGTTTCATTCAGATTTGGTTTCACACCCGTTTAATCATTCACCACGCCCACTTCAGCCCTGCTTTATTTGTTCTTGTTTTGATTGAAGAACCACTTTGTCACTTATCACCTTCAAAGCTGAAACTAAACTCTTTACAAATTCAGAAAGCCTCATGTTTAAGATTGCAGATAATTTAATTTGTTTTGAGTGTTTACATTTCAAGCATCCTGTCAACACGGATAGAGCTCATATCATTAAAGTTTAAAATATAAATCCATCTAACTGTTCCTCACTCACTGCTACTAGTTATCACATGCATATATTTTATAACCCAGAAAATGTCTATAATCAGACAGAAAGGTGAAAAGGAGAGGACCACCTTCCCTCAGCCAATCAGAACTCAGCCCAAATTATTAAATAGTGACTCACAAATTGTTTGATTCCAGTTTTATAATAATGTTTTGAGTGGGTCCTTGCAGATGCAGGAGGGTCTGAGGACAGAGATATTCCAGCACTTTTATTAACAATAGTCATCCTGCTCCCATGGACCAATGGCTCGTACACATTTGTGTTCAAAGCTTAATGATTCTCTGATCTGTTGTCTGTGAAACAATAACTTTATAAAGTCTTCCAAAACGACTGTTTTTTACAAAAAAAACCATTGAATTTAGTTTTTGCCCTTTTTCTGACAGAAAAGTAAATTAAAGAATACCCCCTTCACTGTTTATATCATAAGATAATGACATGTTGTGATCGGATTTGTTTCCAAATTGTGACTTTTGCAAGACTTTATGTTGGGACAAACATGTGTATCTTTTTAAATTTGGTGCTTCAAACTCTATTTATTTCCTTCTTAAAGTTCTACACCCTAGATATTAACTATGCTCCTATCATTTCATATAAAGGTGTCTAAGTGGTGACAGCAGGCATAAATTAGCACTTCTGCTCTGAACCTGGTACAATGCATCTCTCCTCTGGGCTAATAAGTATATCATATATATATATATATATATATATATATATATATATATGATATACTTATAAGTATAATAGTACCGTGCCACATTCAAAAATGCGATGTGTGCCTGTTCTACCACTAGTTATCACGTGCATATATGTTTGCCATTTTCATGACAGAAAAGAGAAACTCAGCCCAAAATCGTTCTTACAAATATGCTAAAGATTCTGTACCGATGTGAGGCCTTTGTGAATATTCAGTTCCTGTGCAGAAGATTGCTCAGACACCTTTGACTGTGTGCGTCACTCCATTCCCTGCAGCTCTGAGCTCCAAGGACATCTCATCACATGGAGATGCAGGTGCAGCATCATCAATAGAAGATGCCTCATGTGAAAATAATTGTATCTCTCGTGGATACAGAGCTTATTTATGTGTCATGAAATAATAAGGGAAGACAACTGTTCAAATGTCTTTTTCTTTATTGTGACAAATAAATAACAATTTGCCCTTTGGACCTTTTTATAAAGTGCGCCAGTGACGACATTTTTTACATGCTACATTTGCTGCCATTTCGTACAATGTTTTACACACAGACCAGTGGTATCCAACATGTCCCCCCCCCCCCCAGAGATCTTTTACAAAATGAAAACAATGTAAAACTATAGGGATCTACTTGGGGAAAAGAAAAGGTTGAAGGTTTACTGGGAGACACATCTTGGTGACCACTGGCTTTAGACAGTACTTTTCACATTCAAGAGACAGGCTCAGTCTCTGGCTCAAATGGCTGGTTCAATAATACCAGCCTCAGTCATGCCATGTGGCGTCAGTCTAAAACAGACCACACAAAGAGCCCTGGCTGTAAATACCGAGTCCTTCACAGCAGTGTCAGCGCCAGGAGTCACACTGTTTAGTCCAGAATGTCAATTGTCTGTTTCTGCTGCTTCTCTGCTGCTCCTCTAGCCCCCATTCACCGTTCCTCGCCTCTCCCGACTCCAAGTCAACCTCAGTGGCACCTTTTCCAGCGTCTGCCACCCACCGACTGACCTGTCCAAACGCCAGGTTCAGGAATTCTCAAGAAGCACGGAGCCTCTTTGTCTTCTTGCAAAGCTTACATTTCTCACACGGACCACATCCATGTCCAGTTCACACCGATGTCGCGGTTCTCACTTTAGCCGACAGCGCCTGTTTGAATCGCCTTTTCAGGTCCTGCATGTTGGGAGACTTGGGGCGCGGGATGAGAGGCGATCGCTTCTTTTCGGGCGCGCTGGTTGTGGTTGTGGTGGTGGTGACTGGGGCAGGCTGCTTGGCGAGTGTGCAGCAGAGTCTGTTGAAAGCGCCGTACACCTGGTTGTAGTCCTCGCTGGCTGAGACCTCATAGAAGGAGCAGCCCAGAGTCGTGGCCAGCTGGGGGCCTTGCTGAGCCTCCACTTTCCTCAGATGCAGCAGGTCAGATTTGTTGGCGAGCAAAATCACCGGTGGAGGGTTAGCCCCGCCTGTGCGCTTGACCAGTTGATGAAGATTACTAATCAGATCAAAACTGTGTCGGTCGGTCACTGAGTACACCAGGACTACTGCGTCGGCCCATTGCACAGAGCAAGTGACGTGTTCTGGCAGACTTGTGGCATTATCAGTTAACTGCAAATAGAAAAAAAACACAAGACGAGGTTATAAAACTGTTCCCTCTGTACCATTACTCAGCTTAAAACAAATAATCCCCCTCTACTGAAGTCAACCAAAATCAAATATCCCTGGACTTTCTATACTGATCTTTAGTAATGGCTGGAATGTGGCTGGAGACAGACAAGAGTGATATAGGGTTACTCCTCTGAACCATGAGGTGTGGGTGACTGAGCAGACTCTATTGTATAACATATACAACATCTCTAAAGCCTGAGACCTGAATTATTAAGACTAAATGGGAGACTAGACAGGCCAACATAAAGGAGCTGAATTAAATCTTAGTCCCGTCTGTTTTGCCCTGGTTAGAATCACTGCTCTCTAGTTTTGTGGACAGTTTAGTTTATATATGAAGTGAGTAAACTGGTATAATCTTGCCATCTTTGTTAACTAAGTATGGAGCTACCAGGAGACACATATTGGTGAAAATGCTACTGTTTTTAATGCGTTGGAGAACAGATTTAAAAAGCGTCTTACCTCAACACCTGGAGTGTCCTGGACTTGAATGGTCACTTGGTCCCCATCCACCTGGACCTCACGAGAGTAAAGATTGCCTGCAGAAAATAAATTACATGTCAGAACAATGCAAGTATAAACATCATACTAAAACATTTTTTCTTTTATGTTATATTTTTCTTGGGTTTTTTTCTTACCGGCATTTCTCTCGTAGTCCCCAATAAAGCGCTTGGTTAGGAATCTTACAACGAGGGCTGCAACAGAAAAAAGAAATGACGTTAGACTTTTAAAAACACGCACTGAGATGCATTAAACACAATAGATATATGTACAATAATAATAATTATTAAATCTGTTCTTACCGGTTTTGCCCACGCCGCTGCCGCCAATCACCGCTATTTTAATGGTGCGGTAAGGAGCCGTATATTCCTGTGTAGGATACTCCGTGATGGTGCTCATGTTGTGAATAATACGCATTTTTTCAGATTTTTTCTCCAGCAGATGTGTGGGGAAAAAAAGACGAAAGGTATAAGTCCAAACACGTTCTGTATGAGCTGGTAAGCGATGTGCGTCTGTTTCTCGGAGCTCTGCCTGGGTAGAGTGCTTGGGAAGGCGCACATCGTTCTGTATTTATAGGGCTGGAGCTGAGGCGGCTTCTGATTGGTCCACACCGAGCCCCCCCTCCTCGTGCGCTGGCTCCCCCCACACGTGTACCACAGCGCTGCCGCAGACACACAGGTGGGTCCCCATGCAGTCCACACGCATTCACAAAGCACCTTTTATTTCCAGGGGTCTTATTATTTTCACTTTCCCCCCTAAATCTGCATTCCCAAACGTAAAGAAGATTATCCCCTATACTTCCGAGTCTGTGCAATTCTCCAGCAATAGTCTATTTTGTTCAACGCTTCACGGGAGATGTATTTTAGTCGTGTGTGTGTGTGTGTGTGTGTGTGTGTGTGTGTGTGTGTGTATACTAGGAAGTGATTGTGTGGATGTGGGTTGTGGGATTGCGTGTCCAGCCTTGTCTCGCTCTGGTGCGCGTCTACCACACAGGGCGCAATAATGGCGCAGAAATGTTGTGGTTCAAATTCACCCCCTGCTGTGCCCTGCATACCTCTGCTCAAGTCATGCAGGTAGATAGTTCAGCCGACATGACTCCATAAAATAGTAGTATCATGAGAAGGCGTTCTGTTAATACACGTTGTCTATATTATACATCCTATACATCAGTTATGTGTATAATTGTATAAAAAGGTTTTGGTCCACGTGGCCTGGCAACTCATTTCACTAAAGCATATTTAAGATTTGTTTGGCCTAATTAAAATTTGACTCAAAAGATGTGCCCAAAAAGGGAAAGGCAGTTACCATAGCAACAACAAAGAAAATAAAGGCCAAAGATCAAGGAATGATAATTATAGATAGAATTATGAGATCTTGCTGAATTGATGCTTAACTTGTCAGATAATTGTTTTTCTTGTGTCCTAACAGTCTTTAAATATGATGACAGCATCGGAGCGACGCCATTTCAGAACGAAGCATCATTATTTTGTATTTTTCCCTGTCTTTTGTGTCACAACATGCCTTTTGAGGGATGTAAAGCTGTACTATAAATATTAACCAGGGGTTCATCTCAATGAGAAGCGTTATACTGTACAGTTGCACCTTCTGCATGTGACAAAAAACTTGATTCTTCAAACATAAGCAGGGCACAGCCAGTCAGTACAGTGATGGGAGACATCTGGGAACACATTTCCTTGTATTAGTCAGGTGTGTGTGTGAATAAGGGGTCGATGGCACGGATTAGTAGCCTCACTTCCGTCAGTCTGCTGTGGCGCAGCTGTGACTACAGTAATTTTTTCCACCTCATATTTGAAGCAAATTAATAATGAGATTTGTCCTTGAATCCAGAAAAGTACTCTGAAAATCATTGCATTATTATTTTAAATGTTATTTGTCACACACTAAGCTGTTTCAAAACCTCGATCAGTTGATTAAGATCCAAAGGTTTTTTTTTACTGCAAATAAACTGAATCTGAGTTGTTTTTTGTGTGTGCAGATAGCCTACACATATAGACAAGCATATAAGAATAACATACAAGAATTACATATTTTTAAGTTGCCTAAAGCTTACTACAACAACAAAAACAAGTGCCACAACTCTCCAGCCCTAGTACCCTCACACAATATTGAAAATACATCCACATTTCGTCAAATAAAAGAACACACACGTGACACATAAGCATCCATTAGAGTTTTGTTTTTGGCTTTTGTCTAATTTCAATCCAACAGCCCACAGCTCCCTCCCTCCTGTCTGTCAGTGGAGTTCATGTGCTCCCAGGTATTTTGGCTCAGGGCTCTGCGATTACTCTCCGGTATGTATTTTTGATAAGAGCTGATGACAGGACGCTGCGCTGAAATATGAAATTAGTGAAAAGGCAGACTGTAGTTTCTATAGGAACACGTCTTCAACTCTGCATCCACAAACACGGATGCCAGTTTGACGTTATTTTGCTCTTGGATAGCTGCTTGTTTGGAAGGCCAAGGGGCTTTCACAGAGGAAGAAAGTTACAAAGTATAATAAAATATATCAAATCATAGAACACAAAGCAACGGATTAGAAAAGAATGTCACAAATTTGCCAAAGGAACTAAAACGTGTACAGCAGGAATAGAATTTCTTCCGTTTCAAAGTGAGATTTACATGTTTTGAAACGCTAGACTGCATACAAAACTTGAAATCACAATTACAACATTGATTCAGCTTCCTGATTGGACACAATTTATGAAAATCCTTGATAGACAGCTGAAGCACCTCCCTCAGCTGTCTATCAAGGATTTTCATAAATTGTGTTCAATAAGGTCTAACTATTCTCTTTCAGCAAACATCATCAGCAATGGTTATGTCAAAGGGAATATATATGTACATTAATATGGAGAAATAGGTAATATAGATGATACTACAGGCTCATATGGTCAAAAATATGTATGTAGTAGTTAAATTAATTCATTTGACTTATATTATTTTGAAGTAACATTACTCCTCTTCTGCTCTGTTCCAATATCCAACCAATTATTCGCTGACATCTTTCCATGAAGCCCAAATTAAAATACCTCCATGTAATCAGTGACAAGGATAAACTCTGTCTAATTATGTGCTCAGAATGACAGTAGATGTTCCGAAACGCAGGCTAATCTTTCACTGAGCTGAGGGGATATTGTTTGGGGGAATCCTGGCTATTTACAGTGGAATGCAGAAGACTTAATTGGGCTTTTGGCATGAGGCAGAGGATGTCCTTGTTGACACTGAAGTGAGTTTCCCCCCTCAGGTTTTAGTGCCCATCGGCCCCAGGGCACAAACCCACAAAGAGGCGATCAGTGTGATATCAGAGCGGCCTGCAGCGGAGTCCTGCATGTGAGATGTTAATCTGCTCCATTGACTGTCTTCATTGAGTTTGAACTAGTTCTCACGCATTTACAAAACAAAATTGTGAAGTTTTGTCAATGCAGGAGATTCTGGATGCCTTTTGTGTTTTGGTCAAGCCGTGGTTATTGACAATGATGCGTTCTTTATGATGCTAAAGTTAGAGATTTAATTTTACTTTAGTTATTTTTCTGTGTGCTCCTCATTCCTACTGTTTTATAACTGGTGACGGAACACTGACATTTCCCAACTGTGGGACTAATAAAGGATCTCTTAATCTCAAACTTAATAAAACTTTATCCATATCAGTTTTGGGGCTCAATAATTACTATACCTACAGTATATGGATTTTTTTTTACAATAACATTTACATATTCACTTCTAAGGCTTGTTATGGATGCTAAATTGTAATAAATGGTTAGTTCAATGTTTTTCAATTCAATTTATCACAACAGAGGAAGAACTTTACAAAGTTGTTGATTCACCAACACAGATCAGAGAATCAAACAGTTCAAACACAGGAAATGCAATAATAACAAACACATTGGTCCATAATAAGAGGATGACCAATGTCCATAAATGTCCTCTTATGTCCAGGATCATCACCACTGTCCTGCATCGGCAAGGAATATATTTTTTTCTTACTGTGTTAAACCTTTGGAATAGATTTAGAGGATAATCTTGCTTTAGTGGGGTGAGGGGAATTCAATAGTTTATTGTGTATATTTTCCTTATTTGTCTCACCTCAACATGAATATTGTGACTGTGGCTGCTTATCTGTTTAAACAGCATCAAAAACACAATCCCAGCTTGCAGTCAAAATACTGCGGTTCCCCAGAGAATCTAGATAAGTTTGCTTTGGCCTTCAGATATATAAAAGTGGAGAAACACAGACACTGCACTAATGACTCAGTTTGAATATAGTTGCATAATGTCTTTCATAAATATCTCGCATTGTAAGGATATTTCATTTTAAATAGATGAAATTGAATTCAATCGCTGTGCTCTGTCCTGACATGTCCTCTCTTTAGCTTGTCCAGGCTCGGTCCATATTAAAATCTGCAAATGCTACGTCTCTTTAATGGCTGATTACCATACATGATGTCCCTAAACGGGCATGTACAAAGACTGTGTGTTTATGCCTCGACTTTAGCTCATTCAGCGCTGCTTGTTTAGGCCTGCGTGTGCATTTACATGCTGAAGGCTTCGACCTGTTCATGCGGGCCTGGACACCCTATAGCCCAGGTCTGTTTCTCATTACCATGTAAAGCTAAAGGCTTGGGGAACATTTGCATAGCTCTGAATGTGGAGGGTGTGGGGAGTGGAGCACTGTTCTGTGCATGACAATAGCTCCTTTAACTTCTCCCCCTTTAGAGATGTCAATCTGCGAGAAAAAGTACCTTAAACATATACATTTGATGATTTAATACTGTAATATTAAAATGGTTGTATCAGAATCATTTTTATTGCCATGTAAGTAACAGGAAGTCACAGACTAGGAAATTGCTTTCCATATATGTATTATAAATTATGTATTTTCCTGACTTCTGTTCCTCAGTAAAGATTATTTAATTATGACAAATATTTATGTCTCCTTCTTGGGGACCTATTCTTTTAGGTTTTGTCTTGTTGAAATTGTCTCATTAGATTCTACAGAATGGATTATTATAGTGCAGATTTTATATTACAATAGTATCAAGTATTCGACCTCATGGCCGCAGGATTACATCTGAAAAATGGCCTCTAAGCTAATTCTGGATTTTTTCACACACATGATTAATCATGTGTTTGACCAATTTGCATTGTTGTCTTTAAAATACATTAAACTAACCTATTTGTTAAGTTTGTTTTGTTTTTAAGTTTTGTGAGGATTTAGGGCTGTTTCATCATAGTGTTAACCCATTCATTTAAGCTCTTGGTTTGAACTCTTTGGTATTTTAAAATAAAATGCATTCAAAACCACATTGGGTTTTGGCATTGATTCGGAGGGTTTTCTTTTTAGATAAAAAGAAATAGGAAAGGGTTCCTTCATATGTGTT